GCACGAGGAGATCTGGCTGTGCCGCCCACCTGGCTTCACTGGGTCGTTCCCTCCTGGTACCCAGTGGAGCCTCCGGCGGCCAGTCTACGGTCTCCGCCAGGCACCCCGTGAGTGGCACGACACACTGAGGGCTACTCTTGCTGCTCTTGGGTTTGCTCCTTCTACTGCTGACCCGTCGCTGTTTCTACGCACCGACACCACTCTACCGCCGTTCTACGTTCTCGTGTACGTAGACGACTTGGTCTTTGCTACTGCTGACACTGAGGCACTCGCCCACGTGAAGTCGGAGCTGCAGAAGAGACACACGTGCACAGACCTGGGTGAGCTGACAAGCTATCTTGGCTTGCGGATCACCCGGGACAGAGCACAGCGCACCATCACCTTGAATCAGTCACACATGGTGCAGCAGGTCCTTCAGCGCTTCCGCTTCACGTACTCCTCGCCTCAGCCCACTCCTCTGCCTACCGGTCACTCGCTCTTAGCTCTGCCTTCGGATGAGTCCGTAGAGCCGAGTGACCCGTATCCAGAGCTTGTGGGCTGCCTCATGTACCTGATGACCTGCACTCGACCTGACCTTGCATACCCTCTTAGCATCCTAGCACGCTATGTCGCTCCTGGCCGTCACCGGAAGGAGCACATGGATGCTGCTAAGAGGGTGTTGCGCTACTTGTGCAGTACGTCGGGCATGGGGCTTGTGCTTGGAGGACGGCGCGACGTTGTCCTCACTGGACACTCAGACGCTTCTTGGGCTAACGACCAGGCTACACAGCGGTCGTCTCAGGGTTACACCTTCAGCCTTGGCTCTGGCTCAGTTTCTTGGCGTTCTACACGCTCGTCTTCAGTTCTCAGCTCCAGTTGTGAGGCTGAGATCTACGCCACAGCCATGGCTGCCCAGGAGCTACGCTGGCTCACCTACCTGCTGACCGACCTGGGAGAGCGGCCTCGTTCTCCTCCAGTGCTGTACGTCGACAACAAGGCCGCCCTTGCCTTGTGTCAGGAGCACAGACTGGAGCACAGAACGAAGCACATCGCTCTGCGCTACTTCCTTGCTCGAGAGCTGCAGCAGCGTGGTCAGCTTCGTCTTACCTACGTGGCCACTCGGGCCAACACTGCTGATGTGTTCACCAAGGCGCTTCAGCCTTGTGATCATCAGCGTTTCTGTACTGTTCTAGGCCTTGTGCCTACTGTCCCTCACTTGCTCACTTCTTGACTCTGCTTGTACTGTGATCTCTATATATATACCTGCATGCTTACACTTGCTAGGTTGTGATCACTGTACCTCTTGTTATATTATCAAACTGCATGTGAACTGGTCCTGTGACCGCTTGCTTGTGCTCGGAATTTGTGTGGTATCCTTGAGATCCACCCTGAGCTTGTTTTGCTTTGTTTTGCTTTGACTGGTCTTGTGACCATCTGGTTGTCTCCCACTTAGCCTATGGGGGTGTGTCAAACATTGTATATGTTTATATTCTGTAGGCTATAGTGGGTTTAGCCTTAGGGGGTACAACATTCTAGGGTTTCCTACTTGTACTCCCAATCTTGTTAGTTCACACCACCCTTGTTCATTTTGACAAAAAACAACACCCAGACGTTGAAAAACTGACATGTTGCACACAGGCCTATCCTTGCACAGTTTCAGGCCTGCAAATTCACAAACAAGCGCCACGTGCTTCATATTTGTGCGAACGAGGTCAAACCAGTTCCTATGGCTAGGAAATAGGATGTAATAGGGAACCGTGCGAAGAAATAGAGGTAAAAACAACACCCAGACGTTGAAACACTGACATGTTGCGCACAGGCCTATCCTTGCACAGTTTCAGGCCAGCAAATGTACAAACAAGTGCCACGTGCTGCATATTTGTGCGAACGAGGTTAAACCAGTTCATATGGCTAGGAAATAGGATTTACTAGGGAACTGTGTGAAGAAATAGAGGTAAAAACAACACCCAGACGTTGAAACAGTAGCATGTTGCGCACAGGCCCATCCTTGCACAGATTCAGGCCAGCAAACGCACGAACATGCGCCACGTGCTGCGTAGTTGTGCGAACGAGCACCAATCAGTTCCTATGGCAAGGGATTAGGATGTACTAGGGAAAATTGTGAAGAAATAGTGGTAAAAAAAGCATTTAGACGTCGGCGCAGTGACATGTTGCGCACAGGCCTATCCTTGCACAGATTCAGGCCAACAAACGCACGAACATGCGCCACGTGCTGCGTAGTTGTGCGAACGAGGTCAAACCAGTTCCTATGGCTAGAAAATAGGATGTAGTAGAGAGCTGTGTGAAAAAATAGTGCTAAAAAAGGCATCCAGACATTGGCAAGCTGACATGTTGCGCAGGCGCCTATCCTTGCACAGATTCAGGCCAGCAAACGCACAAACATGCGCCATGTGCTGCGTAGTTGTGCGAACGAGGTCAAACTAGTTCCTATGGATAGGGAATAGGATGTAGTAGGGAAGAGTGGGAAGAAATAGTGCTAAAAAAGGCATCCAGATGTTGGCGAGCTGACATGTTGCGCACAGGCCTATCCTTGCACAGATTCAAGCCAGCAAACACACAAACATGCGCTACGTGCTGCGTAGTTGTGCGAACGAGGTCAAACCAGTTTCTGTGGATAGAACATAGAATATAGTAGAGAACTGTGTGAAGAAATAGTGCTAAAAAAGGCATCCAGACGTTGGCGAGCTGACATGTTGCGCACAGGCCTATCCTTGCACAGATTCAAGCTAGCAAACGCACAAACATGCGCTACGTGCTGCGTAGTTGTGCGAACGAGGTCAAACCAGTTCCTATGGCTAGAAAATAGGATGTATTAGAGAACTGTGTGAAGAAATAGTGCTAAAAAAAGCATCCAGACGTTGGCGAGCTGACATGTTGCGCAGGCGCCTATCCTTGCACAGATTCAAGCCAGCAAACGCACAAACATGCGCCACGTGCTGTGTAGTTGTGCGAATTAACTCAACCCAGTTCCTATGGCTAAAAAATGCATCCTGACGATGAAACGGTGACATGTTGTGTACTAGCCTATCCTTGCGCAGTTTCAGGCCATCGAACGCACAAACAAGCGTCACGTGCTGCGTAGTTGTGCGAATGAGTTCACGCAAGTTCCTATGGCAAGGCAATTGATTGAAATAACTGAATGTGTGAAGAAATGGTGCTAAAATGAACAAACAGACGACGAAACGGTGACATGTTGTGCACTAGCCTATCCTTGCGTTGTTTCAGGCCATCGAACGCCCAAACAAGTGTCACGTGCTGCGTAGTTGTGCGAATGAGTTCACGCAAGTTCCTATGGCAAGGTAATTGGTTGAAATATCTGAATGTGTGAAGAAATGGTGCTAAAATGAACAAACAGACGATGAAACGGTGACATGTTGTGTACTAGCCTATCCTTGCGCAGTTTCAGGCCATCGAACGCCCAAACAAGTGTCACGTGCTGCGTAGTTGTGCGAATGAGTTCACGCAAGCTCCTATGGCAAGGTAATTGGTTAAAATATCTGAATGTGTGAAGAAATGGTGCTAAAATGAACAAACAGACGATGAAACGGTGACATGTTGCGTACTAGCCTATCCTTGCGCAGTTTCAGGCCATCGAACGCACAAACAATCGTCACGTGCTGCGTAGTTGTGCAAATGAGTTCACGCAAGTTCCTATGGCAAGGTTATTGGTTGAAATACCTGAATGTGTGAAGAAATGGTGCTAAAATGAACAAAAAGACGATGAAACGGTGACATGTTGCGTACTAGCCTATCCTTGCGCAGTTTCAGGCCATCGAACGCCCAAACAAGCGTCACGTGCTGCGTAGTTGTGCGAATGAGTTCAAACAAGTTCCTATGGCAAGGTAATTGATTGAAATACCTGAATGTGTGAAAAAATGGTGCTAAAAAGTACAAACAGACGATAAAATTGTGACATGTTGTGCACTAGCCTATCCTTGCGCAGTTTCAGGCCTTCGAACGCACAAACAAGCGTCATGTGATGCGTAGTTGTGCGAATGAGTTCAAACCGGCTCCTATGGCAAGGTATTTGGTTGAACTACCTGAACATGTGAATAAATGGTGCTAAAACCCCCATTCAAGCGATGAAACGGTGACATGTTGAGTACTGGCCTATCCTTGCACACGCGATAGGTTTGCTGGTGAATACTGGCATCACACACACGCACACGAATATATAAACATATTTATATCTATATTCACGTTTACACCTCTATATATGCGATTCTCGAGTTACTGTTGATTCTTTCTATTATTTCTCGAAATAGTGACAATTCAAACAAAACATAATGTATGCAGGAATATTATGCATAAGACTAACAATTTGTACTACTGTTGTGAATAGCCAGGTTTTTGTGAGAGTCTGAAGGATTTAGTCTGAATAGTTTCACATACATTTAAGTAGCTCAATGGTTTTCTATATACACTAATTTCACTTAAAGTGGTTGCAAATAATATATCGGAACAAATCCATAAGCTTGTGTGAATCAAACGCCATCGGATGACGTGGCAGAATAGAATCGCCAGCTCGTGACGATAGAGAGTCACCTGTTCAATTTGAGCCTGGCGAAATCCATAGCATTCCGCAGCTCTCTACCCGATCGAGTCTCCCAGCCAAGCGTCGTAACGTTTACGCCAGTAAACTCCTACATTCTTGCAGCCTCGAAACTGCCGTTTTCTCCTGGAAGTCGAGAACGCCTTCAATCACGGAAACCTGCCACAACAGACAACAAACGCCAGTTTACCCCCGCATCCGAGCTCACAACTCTTCCCTTACAGTAAATGGCCAATTACAGGGCACCCGACAAGCCCAAAAAAAAGCTAAGTACTCGCCCCCCAGTTTTCGGCAGATTGACATTTTTCTGATGACCAGTTACGCACGGCTGTGCACTTGTGAGTGGTGCCCCACCGCTGCCACTTTTCCCTCTGTTCCCTGCCTCACTCTTCCTATGTGTCCTGCTCCTCCCCTTACACCCCAGCCTTCTAACCGCGGTTCACTTTGAATGCTCAGCCTCTACCGCATCCTAACCAGTTGTTTTCCATGTCCAATCCACCTCGCCCCATCTGCTGCTCAACGTGCTGCTGCTATTTTTGTCACCATTTTGTTCTACTCTTTCTTGGCCAGCCATTCGCTTCGTTCGATTACTGACAGGACTTTTTATTCACAAAGATTCTTGCTGCCCACAAAGAAACTTGCCTTGTTCTGACTTTCTCATCCTCTTTCTTGGCATCTCTATTCTCGCTGTATAATTCTCTGTCTCCTCGCTCTTCCATGTGTCCTGTGTCTCATCCCCATGCCTTCTTGCACCCATGGACCACCTCTTCAAGGGCACCTTCCCCCCTCAGCTGCCCATTCCCTGCTGCCGCGATATTGTGCTTTAGCTTCAGCCCCTCCCCAAGTCGTTCGTCGCCCTGCTATCATCTGGCGAGGTGGGTATCTGCGCTTCGTCGTTGTGTGGAGTTGATCTTCCTCTCAACCTTTCTCTCCCCCGGCTGCGGTCCTTTCCCTACCTCACCTGGCCTATGTGCTCTGCTCCTCCCCTTCCACCCTTGCCTTGCTCTACACTTTGCATCTCTTCTGTTCAGTTCAGCTTGCCTCTACCATTCATAAACACTTCTTCCCATGTCCAATCCTATTCGCCCCATCTTCTCCTCTTCAGAATACGTTTATTTTTTCGCCCCTCACATCAACAACCAGCCGTTTGCTTTGTTCTATGTCAAAAGGATTGATGTATTCTGAATAATTGCAATTTTATACCAAGCCACCGTTTTCCCATGTTAAAGTCATTGTGTCCTCCCTCTCCCATGCCTCCTGCATCTCATCCGTGCCTTCTCCCTCACACCTCCTCAGCTGCCCCTTCTCTGCTGCCGCCAAACCGTGCTTCACGCCAGCCCCCCCTCCACTCGTTTGTCGCTCTTTCATCAACCTGTGAGGTGGGCATCCCCTGGCTTTTCTTACCTTCAGGTTATGTGGATACTCCCTCTCCGTCCTTCTCTTGCCGCCGCTGCCTCAGTACCGCGCAGTCCTCTATCCACGTCTCGCTAGACCCACTGTCCCTATCAGATTTCTCCACTTCTTCCTACCTGTACTCAGTCTATCCGTTCCTGCCAATATATTAGCTCTCCATTTTGGCTTCTTCATCCACGCCATCAATTTTTACATTCGCCACTCACTCAAGAGGTCAGTATCTCTGCCCTCTTAGTTTCTTCTCTCACTATTTTGCCCTTCAGCATGCCTCACCATTCTTCCCGCCCGCCCGCATGCTTCGCTTGCTGCCGCTTCCATTCCCTGAGTGCATATCTTCATTAACCTCACCACACTCAGAATCCATCTCCTTCATCTTCTCCCGTCACCCTTCTCTTCTCTCTCGCCCTCCCAGTTCTTCCCCCTGCCCACCCTTCGCCCGTTCATGCTCGCTCCACCCGACATCCTGTCCCACCTAGTCTTTCCACCCCTCACCTCTCCTCGTCGCCTCTCTTGCTTGCCGCCCATAGTAACCTTGCTGCCCTCATCCACTTCACACACCTTCGCTCTGCGCAGCTGCTGCTGCTCCGCCACCGCCCACTCACTCGTGCTCACTTTCTTTCCAGTCGTGACCATTCCTGGTTCCCCGCCCGCCGCTTCGGACTTCTTGATGTGACCTTGTCTCCCAACCCACAACCATCCTCTCCGTTGAATCCATATCTCGCTGTCATTTCGATTGTCGCCAGTCTCATCGAACTGGCTAATTCCTGCGTCCCCCATTCATGTGATCCTACTTCAATCGCCACCAGTCTTATTGGCATTCACTTGGCTCCCATGCCCATATACTCCGTTTCTCTCCATCCCTGGCCTTGTCCCTCATCCAGTGCACATTACTCTCGGAATCCCCACGCCTCGCATTACACTCCACGCACTGGAGTGAAAGCGCTACATTCTGGGAAACCGTAAGTGAAGTGGCGCTTGCCCTGCCTTTATTCTGAATGAAGCCAGTATATTAGCCCTCCTAGCTGTCCCCTTTCTCAGCCGTCCGCACTGGAAGGCTCTCAGCCTACACACGAGCATATTTGTAACAGCCCATGTGATGCTTGAAGTTACTGAGCCACCTTATGGTTTCAGCACAATGCCACAATGTCAACAGTGCCCCTCAACGCATTGTTGCCTCCCGTCCGTCGCATTGTTCCCATGCCCGTTACCATGCATCTCCTCTCCCTCATTCATTCGCCCACGCTTTCACTCACTCAGCCTCTGACTGACCTAGCCTTTGGCTCACCTAGCCTTTGGCTGACCTGGCATATGGCTGACCTGGCAGGCATATGGCTGACCTGGCATATGGCTGACCTGGCCTCTGGCTGACCTAGCCTTTGGCTGACCTGTCATATGGCTGACCTAGCCTTTGGCTGACCTGTCGTATGGCTGACCTGGCCTGTTTATGACACACAATGAGCGGATGACTCAGTCATGTTTATGTGCTGCGGCCGCGCCGTGCTTGAGCCGAGCGGACTCTGTTCATGTTGCGAGTTGACTTCAAGATTTCTCTGTCTCAGCTCGAAGAAAGGTGGGTTGAATGGTCAAGCCACGGCTTGACGTATTTTTTCGCCCGTGCCCTGTACTTTGAAATCCCCTTATTGTGTGTCTGCTCCGGCTTCCCTCACATGTGCGATTGCAGTAAGGAGAACAGCTGGCGAAGCCACATTGCATATTCGATGCCGGGCTGAGCTCTTCCCCTTGTCATCATTGCTGCTCTGCCTCCTCATTATGTCTTGCTCCCTTCCTCCATCTGGCTTCCTTTCTCCCGTATGCTGCGTTTTGTGACCCTCCTCACCTACTTCCACTGATGTCAAATTGTGGTGCAAGTATGGTTACCTGTTCATACATTGGATTGGATACGTCCAAGGTTAAAAAATACGGTCGTCTTTTTGAAATTGCTCTACGATTTCTCACAGGAGCCTATTATACGAAACGACAGAATGCTTAAAGGCAGAAAAAGACAGCTGTCTTCGCTTTTCTGTTCCTTTCTTGCTCTTCTTGCCTGAATCTGCCTTTTCAAGAGCTACCCTGTCCTTACCACCATTGTACCTCAGACGTTCTTGCTGCTCTGCGTCGTTCAGGTTACTCTATCTGACTGACGTTAAACCACGTGCATACCAGCGCGCTCTGTGCACCTCTCCAACCTGGTCCTAACCCCCCTGCTCGTCGTATCTGGTTCCTCTCACTGTTTTGTTCATGTGCTTCCGTTTCACTCTTCCAGCAAATTTCTACCCGTTCGGTTTTCCCAAATTCTATGCTTGGCCTTCAAGCCTTGCCAGTCAAAGTGAACTCCGTTTTACCACCACCCAATGCAGTCCCTGCGGCTCGCTGCCCTTCACCCTCTGCATTTTCTCTTTCTCCTCCTGGCCTCCCCTTGTTTCATTACCGCCAGGTTTCATGCCAAATGCGCGAGTGTGTGCACAAGCTTCTCTGACAGCTGATCCAAATATGTTTTGTGCGCCTTGACTACCCCCCTTTCTTCTGCCCCCTATTCTTGAAACTTGAACCTACTCTATTCCGTCCCTGTCTTCTTTCACCAGGCTGCATTGAAGGAGGCGGAGTAAGGCAAGGATCGGCCGTTGAAGTAGGATCATTTGAGGGGAGTGAGTGGGTGATATGGCCGCCGAGAGGGTGATGGGTACATTGATTGAAGTGGTCAAAGAGGCGGTGCTGGCAGCAGTGAGAGAGGAGCTGGCTACACACAAGGAGGAGGTGGATGAGCTGCGGCACATGTTGACTGCAATGAAGGGGGAATTCGCAGCGGTGAAAAAGGAGTTGGCAGAACACAAGGGCACTACGGCAGAGCAATGGGCTGAGAGTAGTAGGGCATCGGGTGTAAGAGGGCCGGAAGGGAAGAATAGAAAGAGAGGGCACGAAATGACAGCGGAGTGTGCAAGGGAGGAGGAGAGGAGGAGGGGGGGGGGGGGGTGCAGGAGGTGAATCAGCCGCGTGTCATTTTGGAATTGGCAGCCTGTGAGGAATGGCAAAGTACACGAAACCTGAAACTGAATGTTGCGCTTCCAATCAGGCAGAGTGAAGGCGATCGGAAGACGGCATGGCAGGTGAGTGTTGAGTGAACTGTTCTGCAGTGCATGCTTTGCCATGTTTTTGCTCTTCACCCTTTTTTATCCACGGCCTTTCAGATGGTCATTCCTTTCCTTGTCACTCATTCCCTCTTCATCCATCACCTCCAGAGGATTAAGACACAATCACGAGGAACCGATATGACACTGGCGCATCTCAAGGGCGTCTCAGACGCTATGCTCGGCCATGTGTCCACTATGACCCATCTAAAGAGCTTTAGTTTGCAATCTAGCTCAGGCTTCAGTGCAGAGGGCATCCACAGCTGGAAAGGCTACACCTCATAAGCACACACGTCTCAGATTTTGCCTTGGAAGGCATCGGGTCTTTGAGAAGTCTCAAAGGTCTCCATCTTCCTGTCAAGGTGTCCGATGTTGGCCTATCACACTTGACAGGTCTCTCCTCTCTCAAAATGCTATGGCTTTGTCGCTGCAAGGGTGTGACAGATGCTGGCATGGTGCATGTGGGGAGACTTTTAGGGATTGAGAACCTTTGGATGAGTGAGACGGCAGTCACAGATGCTGGTCTGCAACACTTGACAGGTCTGTCCTCTCTCAAAGAACTGTGGCTTTCTGAATGTAAGGGTGTGACTAATGCTGGCATGGTGCATGTGGGGAGGTTGACGGAGTTTGAGAACCTTGCTCTGGTTGGCACGGCTGCCACGGATGATGGGCTGCAGCAGCTGACTGCCCTGACCAAGCTGAGATATCTCTTTCCGGCAAAAGGGGGTTGCATCTTTAATGGCGCTGCACACAGGCGGATAGGCAGGTAGGGTGGCAGAGAGTGATTGTGGAAAGGGAGGTGAGGTGAGGGAAGAATTGACTATGACTGTTGAGGGGAGACTGGGGAGACACGTGGTGACAAGGGGTGTGAAGAATGAGGGGAGGCATGTATGCGGAGGAGTGAGGCATGGAATGGTGGTTGTGCCCGACTCAACTTGCATGCTGCACTTTGCAGTGAGGCATGGACGTGTACAACTCCAATCGTGCCTTGCAGGTAGACAGCAGCAGGTGCACGACTAGTTGGGCAAGAGACCAGGTTCATGAGGGGAGGCTGCTCTGCCTGGCTCTGGGTGCAGCAGGCTGTACAGATGCTCTTCACACAGATGAAAGGGTAGGGCATACTAGTGCGGATGATGGAATCAAGTTTCTGCCGCATTGTTTTCGTAAATTCAGCGCCTTAGATCTGCATAATGGATCAAGTTCATTCACAGTGCTCTATATAGGTCGGGTGCATGGCAATGTCTGGCTGGCTTTTGCAGCATGCTGTACAAATCCTCGACACAAGAGAGAGGATACAGTACGTGATAAGGGTCGTAGCGTGTGGGATTAGCCAGTAAGACATTTCTTAACAACTTTCAAAACACCATACCCTGACAATGATATGCGTGACTGGTCATGTTCATTTGGTGATGTTCCAACATATGGTACCAACCAATAACTCAATTAACAGACTCAGAGACGAGATGAGGTACATTAAATTCTGTCTGCTTACAAAACCACATGAGGTGGCTTGCTTATGAAAGTTTTTTTGTCAGCTAAGACACATTGATGGGTTGCATGGGACGGACGGAGGGCAGAGGTGAAGATCAAAGAACTGGAACCTGTGTATCGATGGGGAAAAGGCAGGTCTGATGCATGTTGCTGCTCACTTCAAGTGACTGTCTTTCTCCATCCTTAGGTGGTCCGCCTCCCCCAGCAGCCTGCTGCCAGGCTGCAGGCACAGGGCGAGAAGAGCTGGATCCCTGGAATGGATTATTTCAAGTGGCATGCAGGAGATGAAGACCTGCACGCCGAGATAATCATACTGTGCGCTGCAGTGATGCAAAGAACTAAGGTTGTCAGGTACTGCTGCAGTTCACTGCAAAGGTTTGCTTGTAAGGAGGGAGATAAGCAGAGGTGCTGCATGCGGATGCGATCTGAGCAGGTGGAGACGAGATGGGAGGGTGATGGTGGGAAGGGGATCGGGATCCAGGAAGGGGAGGGACACAATGTTTTTGGCGTGGGTGGGTTGGACACGAAGAAGGGGCACGATTTGATGGTGTGAAGGGCAGAGCAAGGTGGGATTATAAGATCAAACGGCTGAGGTATGGGATGGGAAGTGGGATGAAGTTAGGGATGAGGTGTGGCATGGGTGAGGCATGGAACGAGGTATGGGATAAGGTATGGGTTAAGCTATGGACTGATGAGGTATGGTATAACCAGGTTCGACCCATTCTCATGCCTACCTACAGATTAGGGGATAAGTCAAAGTCAAGAAGATGGCCGTGGGAGAGGGGGTGTTGTAAGGGGAAAAGGGAGAGAAAGGGGGTCTGGATGGAGCAGAGAGGTGTTGGAAGAGACGACGAGGGGCTGGATGTAGGAAAATGGAACTGGATGGCATGGCAGATGAATGGCATCTGTAGTGGCAGGGGGAGGGAGGTGGGGGATGTGGGAGGTGGGTTGATGGCTGCAAGTGGTGCTGAAAAAGGCCAGCGATGATGTAGCTGCATGAATCAACATGCACGTACGTGTCCAAACAATTAAGGAGCATTTAATTTGCGGACAAATGGTAGGGATATATACATATGAGACAATGAAACGGGAACACACAAACACCGGGAAGAGGCAATGAGTGCTTGCTGCTGCCCATGCATGTGCCTGACATACTTGTGAGCCATGCACACAGCTGCTGCAGAGGCGGTGGCTGTTGGTGTTAAACCTGCAGCTGTTGCTGCAGCTGCTGGTGTTGGGTGTTGCTGCTGGTCTGGCTGCGGTCCCTCCGTACGCATCGACTCAAGAGTGTTTGACCTGTTTGCAACCAGGTGTCAATCCAAGCACATAAAACCCACCCCTCA